ACCCCCCCAGGCCGGTCCGGCCCCGGTTGAACAGGGCAAGCTCGACCGGCCGGTTGCCGGCCCAGCCCTGCCCTTAACCCCAATAAAAAGATGCCCTCCCACTCTGATCCAATACCATAACGACAAATCCCATCAAAATACCTTTTCACCCACCCCTTTACATCCACATACCCTCTCTATTCCCAACTAACAGGATAGACAACCTAGTTGACAGTCTTGAAAAGATTAGTTTCACTCCACAACCACCCAAGGAGCTACAGTAACAACAGTTTTTACCAAGTTTAACAGGCAAGGAAGCAAGGGTACATCAAGGCCTAAGATAATAGGGCTAAAAGACTAGTATAGGACACAGAGGGATACCAAGCTAGCGACTCCAGCATTTCAGGTCATACAGATAGCCAACTAGCTGAGAAGAATCCTATAGAGACAGCCTCCACATGAAGGTTTCTATCAGTAAACAGCTGAGAAGTAGGACGGAGCAAAACCATTCGCGAAAAAAATAAGCAATAGTCTAGAACAGGCTAACGTAGGCAGGGGTGAAGATCGGTACATCCTTCTTCATGGAAGTAATCAATGCCGTCTTCAGGGCCTCCACGCCATAAGGGGGAGGATCGTGAGTGGGTAAATTTTTGTACTATTTTGACTTTGCCGGGGGAATAGGAACCGGACTGTTGCTCCCCAGAATGGGCATGGAGCCAGAACCTTAAGGTTCTGTTATGAAAAAAAAAAAAAAAAAAAAAAAAAAAAGGTAGTCCTCAAGAGGACCCATGGTGTTACGGATCTGGCGAGGGCGCGATCCCTGGACGTCATGCCTGGTACCAGCCATTTATTTTTTTTCTGCTATGTCCTCAGTACCAGCACATTTTGCGTTTCTGTCCCTTGGACATTTTAACCAGTACCCTTCTGGTACCGACGGATTTTGTACATAACGCTGAGCCCAACCTAGCCATTAGGCTGTTCTCAGGTGTGTGGACCAGTCTCAAACACGGGTGAGACATCTTATGCTGTACTCAGTTTTCAGACATTGAGTGTGAGTTCGGCATTGAGTTGCTGCTGCTACCCTTCTCTGAGCGTCCTCATCGTGCCGGTCGAGTTCTGCGTCGTAGTCTGGTCATGCAAGTGTTCACCCTTCCCCCTCCTCCTCGAACCCAGTGCTCATCACAGGTGGTACAGTAGATCTGATCTGCTAAAAACAGCACCGAGAGTAGTTGCAGGTAATGAACGACAGCAGAAAGGAATCCACGTATTTGACACAGATGAGTAGATGCAGGTACTTGTGATCTGTTTCGGCGGATAACCTTGAAACCGGGCCAGTAGGAGTGAAAGGATTTCACATTCCTAAGCCTGCCGTGATTCGATCCTGGGACCTGTCGCTGTTGGTGTTGCCTTTTCTGCTATGTTGTATGTCGCTGTTGCTGTTGCCTTTTCTGCTATGTCGTATACCTGTGTGATGCTATTGGAGTTCGAACCCGGGACCTGGTGCCGACCTACCTGTGCACTTACCTGTTGCTATACCCTGTTGTAAGCATTGACTGTGCTTGTGGAGCCTTGAACCTGAGACCTGCTCTTATGTGTACATGAAGTCGATGCTTAGTACCGTTTGTGCAGCAACGGGCTTCCCAGGGCAACGGGGGAAGTGCTCCTGGGAAAACAAAACTGCAGAATAAGTTTTTTGAGGGTTCACTCTGCGTGGTGCTGGTTCCCGAAATCAAGCAGTGCGCTTTGTGGTGAAGAAGACAGCCATAGCTGGAGTAGTTGGGCAATCGAACTGCCATCTGGTAGCTGTTGTTTTCTGTTTCTTTTGGAGTGGTCCCAACACTGTTGTGTTGGGCGTTTGTAGGGTCGAGCTTTTGCTTGGTGGTGGGTGAGCCATCAAGTGGGAGCATCACTTCGATGTTCAGGAAAGATCCTGTGTGTAGCAGTGAGTGACAGGGTTTGCATTGTGGGAACCTTCACTGAAGTTTCAAGCTGAACTCAATGGTGCAATTGAGTCAGGCCTGTTATCTCGAATTTGGAAGTCTGTGAGCATATTTGTGGGATTGAGCCATCATAGCTGCAGCATCTATAACTTTGTGTTGTGTGCGTGTGAAATTTCATTGGACTGTGTGGGACAGTGTGGCGATTTCTCGAATCGCAAGGAGAACTTGATTTTCATGTGTTTGGTGTGACCACTGACCACCATATCTGCACGCTCACATGGAATGGATCATGCATGAGTGAGGGTCTCCTGGCATAGTCTTCCGTTGTACTGCCTATCACATTGTTTGTTCCCCGTCCTACTCATGACATTGGTGCTTCTTCAGACCTGTGGTACAGCAAATAAGCAATGTGCATCCATAGTAGAAACGATATAAATGCAATGTAGTACAGTGGAAGACCCACTGTGCACTCCTAGCTTTGCAAATGAAGCTTCCATCGGACCAGTTGTTGTCCATACGTCGTAACAGCATTTTATAATTTTGTTGGATCAGGTGTCACACCTGGACCGTACCAGCAGATTGAACAGTACTTCTGTTTCTATGCAAGGTAATGAAAACAAGAGAAGAAAAATACGGGCAGGACAAAAGACCATTTTTGATTCAATTGCCATATGATATAGGCTCCCTTCAGGTTTCTTGTGTGTCGTTCATGCTCTGTTCCACATTACTCACTAGTACGACGTTACAAACCAAGTTTTCCATTAATTTTTCCTCTCTCCCTGCTTCCCCCTCCAGTGCTATAGGTTTATGGAGGTGCTGCCGAAGTACAACCTGACAAAAGACGAGAAAGCTTTTTGCCGAGAACTTTCCTGGTGCAAAGGTGAGTCTTCTTCTTCTTCTTCTTCTTCCTCTTCTTCCTCTTCTTCCACTTCTTCTTCTTCTTCTTCTTCTTCTTCTTCTTCTTCTTCTTCTTCTTCTTCTTCTTCGTCGTCGTCGTCGTCGTCGTCGTCGTCGTCTTCTTAATCTTCTTCTTCTTCCACTTCTTCTTCTTCTTCTTCCACTTCTTCGTCTTCGTCTTCGTCTTTGTTACGAGCGGGAGGCTGAGGGAAACAGGGAGAGCCGAGGGAGCGGAGAGAGGGAGAGAGTGAGAGCACACACACACACTCACTCGACACGACTGAGGGGCGGACGCAGACACACGGGCAAGGACACAAAGTCGAAGTCTTGGATTCTGAGTGCCAAAACAGCAAGTCACACTGAGTACGAGTACAGCAGCAGAGAACTGGTACGAGACTGGTCCCCGTACCGTACGGGGAGCCGGTATAAGTACCGGTGACACGTACGGTACCAGGGGCATTTCTGCAAAGGCCCCGAGGGCAGAACTGAAAAATGCAGTATTTGAAAGTGGTGCCCGA